CTGGGTGGTTTTTCTTCCTTTCAGGTGATCAGTCTGTACCACCATGACATGCTTTTCTGCTTTCTAGTAATAGCCCCTGGAAAGTGGACCTTCTGGCTCAGTAGATTATTTCTCATTTCTTTCTGAGTTTGGAGGTGTAATCATGTAGCCTTAGATTCTTGGCCTTGATGGTCAGGGTAATGTCTTAATACCTTCTCCTTTAAATAACTGAAAGCAATTTTCCTTTTCACCTATCATTTTTACAACAATATGTTCTAAAATAAATAAACAGGAAGGATTGGAAAAGGCTTCACAAAATGGCATTATCCCTTTATCATAATCCAGGGATTAATCCAGAAAAAAGCAAAAATAAAAGAATTTCAGTAGAAAATCTACATTCTCCTTTGTATCCTATTACACATAATTAGCTTATACTGAATTGAAAGAGAATTAACAACACTTCTCAGAACTCAAGGTTTTTCAAAACATTGTAGAACAAACTCTGCTAGTCTTCAATAAACTGCTGCGTCAAACTCAAGCATCTATAAAGCTATAAGATCTATGCTATGAGCCCTGGAGTCTATATTATAAATAGTATCAGTTTTTTCATGCTATCTCTTTAAATAGTATTGAGAGAATTTGACCAGGAAAATTGTTTTAAAATAATTTTCTATTATCCAACTTTTATAAATCCTCATGTTTCTAAAATCTGTCTATTCATGTTTATTGAGCTGAAAGAAAACTGACTGCTCTTAGACCATTTAGAAATACTCTTCCATAATTGTAACCATGCCCTTGAAAACACAGAAAGTTACAGAAACGGACTCAACAGAGACAAACATGAAAAAATTATTTTATCTTGCTGAACCTATGGATAAGAAAGTACAAATAAATCTGATTTTTTTAATCAATAGAAAATGAGAATAAGCGAAGTCTTGAGGTCCCTTTGGAGATAGGGCAGATGGCCTTGTGATCAGAAAGTGATGTTTTTTCTAGAGTAGATTGATAGTCTGCCTTCTAGCCTTCTCCACTTAGAATAAAAGAGTGATGAATGCATAAGGGGCAATTTAATGAATGCTGTGTGACTCACTGTGGTGGTGTTTCAGTTCTATATAGTGCAGCTAGAGTATGCCCGTAGAAGTGGATAGATTTTTTTTCCAGAAACATAAAGTTTCAGTTACAGACCCAGAGATGGAAAAATTTGCTTTATTTTAGAAGTTGGCTATGACAATGAATAGGACCTTAATGAATTTGCTTAGAAAATGTGAAAGAAGCAACTTACATGGGCCATTTGTATGCCATTCACAAGGTCAAACATAAATTTTTTTTTTTTAAACGTGTTGATTTCAGCCAGTTGCTTTTCTCACTATTCTATGTGTACAGCTAGAAATTAATCTTGCTTCAGCAGACAAAGATAATAAGAAATGTTTCTATAAGCATATCAACAGCAAAAGAAAGACCAGGGAGAGCCTCCATCCCCTGCTAGATGCAGGAGGAAGCATGGCAATGAGTGATAAGGAAAAGACTGAAGTGCTTAATGCCTTCTTTACCTCAGTCTTTAATAACAAGACTAGTTGTACTGAGGGAATCCAACCTCCTCAGCCAGAAAAGACAGAGATTGGGAGAACGACTCCCCTCACAATCCATGAGAAAACAGTGTTCTACTGCATCACATAGACACACACAGGTCTATGGGGCTGGATGGGATACACCCGAGGGTGCTGAAGGAGCTGGCTGGGGTGCTCGCCAGGCCACTTTCTATCATTTACCAGCAGTCCTGACTGATTGGAAATTGGCCAATGTGACACCCATCTATAAGACAGGTTGGAAGGATGATCTGGGAAATTACAGGCCTGTCATTTTGACTTCGATGCCCAGGAAGGTGATGGAGCAGCTCATCCTGAGTGCCATCACACAACACATGTGAGACAACCAGATGCTCAGGCCCAGTCAGCATGGGTTTATGAAAGGCAGGTCCTGCTTGACAAACCTGACAAACCTGATCTCCTTCTACGACAGGGTGACCTGATTATTGGATGAGGGAAAGGCTGTGGATGTTGTCTACCTTGACTTTAGTGAGGTCTTTGACACCTTTTCTCACAGTATTCTCCTGGCAAAAATGGCTGCTTGTGGCTTGGATGGGCACATGCTTCACCGGGTAAAAAACTGGCTGGATGGCCGGGCCCAAAGATTTGTGGTGAAGGGAGTTAAATCTGGTTGGCGGCCGGTGACATGTGGTGTCCCCCAGGGCTCAGTTTTTGGGGCCACTCCTGTTTAACATCTTTATTGATGATCTAGATGAAGAGATCAAGTGCACCCTCAGTCAGTTTGCAGATGACACCCAGTTGGGTGGGAGTGTTGATCTGCTCGAGGGTAGGGAGGCTCTGCAGAGAGACCTGGACAGGCTGAAGCCATGGGCTGAGGCCAACTGGAGGAGTTTCAATAAGGCCAAATGCCGGGGGCTGCCCTTGGGCCACAACAACCCCCAGCAGCGCTACAGGCTTGGGGAGGAGTGGCTGGAGAGCTGCCAGTCAGAGAGGGACCTGGGGTGTTGATTGACAGCTGGCTGAACAGGACCCAGCAGTGTGCCCAGGTAGCCAAGAAGGCCAATGGCATCCTGGTTTGTGTCAGCAATAGCGTGGCCAGCAGGGACAGGGAAGGGATCTGACCCCTGTACTCGGCACTGGTGAGGCC